TTGGCTATTATAGTCCCAATCTTTAAAAAAGGCAGGAGGGATGACCCTACAAACTATAGGCTGATTAGCTTGCTAAACTCAATCAGCAAATTATATACTAGACACTTACAGGAAAAACTCAAGGACTGGATGGTCCCGAAGCACCTGATAGCAGATGAACAGGCAGGATTCAGAGAGGGACGAGATACCATCGAACGATGTCAAGTTCTTCAACGTCTGATAGAAAAGTATTCCAGCAACAAGATAACATCATTGTATGCTGCCTTTATAGACCTCAAGGCAGCCTTCGACTCTGTTTCTAGGACCAAGCTTTGGGAGAAGCTGGAAGCTGCATCAATAGACAGTAGGCTTCTCTATTTAATTCAGGCGCTACATACTAACACCACCCTTAAGGTTAAATGTAATAGGCAAGGGTTTCTTTCAAAACCAATTAAAGTGCAAAAAGGGATGAAACAGGGATGTATCTTGGCTCCCTTACTCTTTAACTTTTACATCAATGACATGGTGAGATACCTAAACCACCTGGATTTTCACCCGCCTAAATTAGGGGTTCATAGCATTGCCCTGCTGCTTTAAAACCAATTAAAGTGCAAAAAGGGATGAAACAGGGATGTATCTTGGCTCCCTTACTCTTTAACTTTTACATCAATGACATGGTGAGATACCTAAACCACCTGGACTTTCACCCACCTAAATTAGGGGTTCATAGCATTGCCCTGCTGCTTTATGCAGATGATGCAGTTGTCCTCTCTAGGACACCAATTGGTCTAAGAAGAGCCCTGAGAACTCTGGTCCAATACTGTGCAAACAATCTTCTAGATATAAACTATCAGAAAACAAAGATTATGGCCTTTTCCAAAAGACCAAAACAACACGTCTGGACCAACAGTCATAGAATAGAACAAGTGAATAGTTTCAAATACTTAGGTATAATCGTGCATGCCCCCGGATCAAGGAGAGCTCATTGTGAATATGTGGCTGATTTAGGTCTTCGTTCCACCAATGCCATTTTAAAAAATTTTCGAAGTAAAGGGGGGTATTTTGTCCCAGCAGCTCTCAAGCTTTTCCAGGCGAAGGCGCTAGCCCAACTTCTCTATGGGTCTGTTGTCGGCTCTCCAGCTTCAAGTGTGACATACTTGGAAAGAGTCCAAGCTAAATTCATCAGGGCAGTCCTGC